AGTCGCCTGTCGTTGTAGCCAAGTCATCTAACAAGAGAATATGCCGGGATCGCGCTCGATATTACGGTGTGACGTTCGTTGACGAACAGGAGATGAAAAGACAACGGAATGCAAAGCAAACATAAAAATATGCTATACAAAGAGCCAGCTCGTGAAATTAGGAAAAACAATTCCTGAACCAGCAGTTATCAGGTCAAGCCTGAACGAAGAGAAACGAAAAGATGGTGACGGCCACAGACGAGTGTAGACCGGTGAAGTGAAGAACGCGCACCTGGCCACAAGTCTCCTCCAGAGGAGATGGCAAAATGAGAAGAATGCATAGAAGAAATCGATAATAAGAGACAGGCACCTCGAGGACTACTCCGAGGGTAGCAGTTCCGCGCGGGCCAACCAAGTCCGTGTTCGACTAACGGCTTGTTCTGCAAGATCGATCAAGGGTAGGCACCGTCATCATCCTATGTATGCAGTGCTTGTACAGCCCAAACTGGGAAATAGAAACATTCGCGATTGGCTACAACTGGCCGATGGCGGCGAGAGCCCACACTAGTGAGGCTGCCTACTGGCTATATCGATTCATCTAAGATGAATAATCTAAGTACCTTTCGGACGAGATCCTATGAACTTCTAGGGTCCCAGTACATAGGCAATACCAGTTCGAGCTAGGTTGGCCCGTTCTCGAAGAATCCGCAACCATGATAATGGTGTGTACCCAGGTAGAGAGGGAGGATCCGCCATGGCTGCATGGCCGGCTGCTGTCAGAAAGCATTGAGTAGTAAGAGTAGATGAGGCAGAGATGGAACGCGTAGTGGTTTCGACGTCCCTTGTCGTCTCGCTAAATTATCGCAATGAGGTTGGGGCTCGGGCCACTTAAGGGTCGCTTAAGCCTCATTAAGGAAGACTGAAGCCGAATCAAGATTAGTCTGGGAGTTGCCGCTGTCAGGGGCTGAGGGGTTAAACCCTTCCGAACATAAGCCAGACGCACCCCTGTAACATGTTTTCTGACTTCAACTTCAACTTCTGGACCTTATCGGTGGATGGTTTTGAAGGGTTTGATACTACGCAGACGCCTTTAGGTTCTAAACTCTTCGTATTGTCCACTAATCTCACTTGCAGATTTCATATATCCAGAAGGCTCCTGGAGTACGCGCGGCTGGATGTTTCTGCGCCTGTTTCTGGGCGTGGTAAATAAACCTACCATGGCGGGTCTGCGGGTTTCTGAATAGCTTCTACTGGCGAAGGTGAGGATGAAGTCGAAAGATCGTGTTGCGATCTAACGAAGCAGACCCCTAGTCCATACGTATATCCAGGGCCTATCAGTAATACGAAAAGGAAATGGTATCTCACCCTCGCATCTTCTTCTTGGCTAACTTCATCATGTCGTAGCTGGGTGCTAGTTTGCTTTGGTAGCTCGTAGTGTACGTTGACACTGACCTATATTCCGTACCCTGACGGAAATAGAGGCGATACGATCGTGTCCGACTTAATAATGGTCGATCATAACAGTAACATCAAGATCCAACTTAAAGTATAATCTACATAGTAACCCTATAACCCCTTTTCCCCAGAGGCTGGCTGGAGTCTGAAGCGTTGTTCGTAAGAGATAGTCTGCTTGGACAACATAGTATGGGGGCGATGGGAACCCCTTGTGCGAATCGCTGCGGGTGTGATACAAGAAACGGCTGACGCGTGGGATTCTGCCGATAATTGTTCAGACGAACAGACATGAGTTGAAAATTCTGCGAGAGGAAACTTCTAGATCTATATTAAGACTAGAGACCCAACTTCGACGGGAACCTATGAAGTTGATTAGTCGGCGTGTCGCCCATCTCTAGAAGAGTATAGTTGACTCGGTGAAATCCAATCCCTACTAACTATATGGTTAGTAATGAAACGTGGAACTATTTTTACCAGATTGACTAATGGTATGAGTATAGGCTCGGCTTAAGAAGGCTCGGTTTTATGTAACTAATGCTATATCCAAAGTCCAGGTAGGTTTTATGGCATGAAAACTATCAAGGCATAGTATACTGCCGTGTTTCTTAGTGATTGTATTAGTGATTGTACTAGGAATTTCATGGGTACCCGGAGTACCCGGAGAATAGGATGCCATCCGGACTCCTATCACATCTGGGTAAGTCGCGGGGTAGCTTCCATGTGTCCAAGCAGATTTAAGTAGGTGAACCTGGGGCTGGGCTCTTGAGGCTGGGCTCTTGAGACTGGATTTGGTTGGTAGGAACAATATCGATCCGAGATGATGAGGATCATGACTAGATACGATTGGTCCTTCTAGTACGAAAAGTACGGGAATGGTGGCATTTCCTCGATATCACATTTTCTGGCTAGAAGGACCAATCGTAGCTAGACGGATGATCATGGTATAGTTTCGGAGATTGAATAGGAGAGAGGTTGGAGAAAGGATGCCCTACGTTTGCGCTTTACCTCTCTAATTGTTTTCTGTTATGTCATCTCAATATCCGGCAGGTGCTTAGCTTAGCTTAGGTAATAGGTACACAATTATATAGACTTTGCTGGGTGAATTACGTAATAAACTTATACAGTGTGCCAAGCTCCATATACTAAAAATTAACACGGTGTATTTGGCTTTCTTTAACCGAATCCCGCTTTCTCCAAACCCAGTGTCCCAAGTTGACAACACACCACCACACCTTTACAAATGACGATGTTCTACCTAGAAGTCAATCATTACTGCGCCTATAGCATTTGTTTGTCGAATCTTGTCTCGCTGTACCTTCTTAGCTATGGATGAAACATCCTGCCATCGTTTGCTTACTATCGGCAACGTTTTGACCTCATGAATGTCCGTATGCGACCGTGGGTCTGACCGAATTGCCAACCACGGACTAACCATCACACTTTCTTTCGACACTTGCCTCTCTCGCAACATGTCCTGAGATAGAAATCGTGGCCGGAAATTCGGAGTAGCGACTTTCTTTCCTAGCATCTTTCTAGCATACTTGTCGATATTCGCTCGAGAATTTTCGTCTCCCACAGTTGTTCCTATTCAACTACGCCTCGAGTTCAACTCACGATCTCAGTTTCAGACCCATGCCTGTCTAGATGAAGGGGAAATATCTACCTCCTATTCAGTATGGCGTCCATTTCCATGGGGCTTTGCGCAACGTAGATTGCTGCAAGGCTTTATGTCTTAACCATCGATACCCGGTAGAGGGAATAATATCTACCAGTCCGCCAGATTATAACATCTCCAAACCCTCCAAGAAATTGAAGGTTCTCTACTACCTTAATCGGATGTAGTCAAGTTATTCGCAGGCGTAATGATGCCATGCTGCGTCGCCAATATCTGGCTATACCGACCTTTATCGTGGCAGCTCTACGTTTCAATGAAGCCATCTGACAGGTAGTCTTCATCTAGAGATGAGAGACCAAGATATCCATTATCCTGTGACCTAACTTAGGTTTGCTCCTACTTTCCAGAAGTATCAGATAGTTCTATGTTTCTTCGCATCCGGATTCTTGTGTCAAGGTCCATATCAGACTTGCATATTACATGGAAAGAACTGAGCTCTCAGCGGTAATATCCTGTTATGTGGTATTTGCATATTGACAAAGCAATAATGGTCCAGAGAAGAAAATCATCCTGCGGTATGATTCAGAGCCTTTCGATTTTATTCCAACTACGTTCTTGCTCAAGCAGATATCGACGAAGTCCGAGCCAACCATCTGTTTGAGCAGCTCAATAAACGACTTCCTAATAATTATTCACTGTTAATTTCACTGGGAAAGGATCTAGCTTTAGTTCCGTTCTAAGATGACGTCAAGTTACGACGGAACCTTGGAGGCAACAGAGTCGGCGGACGACAAAGAAGAAAAAGCCTTTCTCAGGATATCGCATGGGATCTGGTATACAGACAGCTAGGTTATATGGATTGCGTTGTGTCTGACAATATATTGGTTGTTTATGTTAGGTGAGGAATTGGAATAGCGACAAAACAAAAGAATGGCTATGGTTTGAAGGGTGGGATGATATTTAGATTGCACAGATCATCGTAGATAGCATGTCCTGGTTTATCTTACTGCTTGACTCGCCTAGTCACTCTTACTAGGCTAGTCGCTAAAGCCTGGAAGTGCTGAGACATTTCCAGGTGTTTGATCGGTCTCGACCAAAACACTCGAGACCTTTTTTACTCGAGTGTGCTGCTCTTGCGGCGACCTGCACGCTGATATCCTTTGTCTGCTGTCTCGGTGGTGCGAGCAGTGCTTAAAATTGGGGCTGGACTAAAATTGGATCTTTGACCCAAGAGTTGACAATTTTCCTGCCCCATGGACATCAGCGGTCTACTTAGGTGCAGACTGACTTAGGTGGCGGTGGTCATAGTGGTGATAGAAGGTTTAGGTAGGAGGTACGCTCAACAGTACTAACAGTGGAGGAGGTGCTTTTAGTAAGTGCCCTATCGTTGCCTATGTCCCCGGTTCACTGGGGTTAGTTAGGCTGGGTGACAATTTGTGCCGCAAGGCTCCAAGGCTCCCGGGGCAGAAACGCCAAAGCTTTTGCGACCCAGAAATTCTGGACGGGGAAAACCTTCAAAAGCACCGCGGCTCATTTACAACATTACACTCTTCCCGATATTGAAACTAACGAAGATCAAGTTCGCTTGCATTCATTTGTTCTTTTTTTCATTATCGAATCTGTCATACCACTCAAATCCCAAATCCCGACATTCCTCAATACCTCCGTTCTTAACCCTCCTTTCTATCACCTATTCCCCAAAGATCGCATCCAATATTCGGCTTTGCGGGGCAGACAAGGGTAAAGAAAAAAAAAAGGCACCCGCGCACGTTTATCGACCACTTATCGGTCATCTTTCTCAGTGTCTGAGGCTGCTGAGGTGGCCTGACCCATGTCTTTCGGCGACATAATTTTACCGTTCCTTCTCTTCTGACTTCAGTGGGCTGGCATTGGTTTAGCGGTATTCTGTCACTGGCATTGGCACTAATCAATGCAGTCAGTTAGTGCTAAAATGAGAGATGCCGACATGGATCCAGTAGTACATCGACACCCCAGCAGGCCTGGTCCTCAATCACCACCGCCAGCTTCAGCTCCAAACAACAAATTTGGATCCAAGTTCAGTTCTCGAGATGTTGCGATGAAACACGATCAGATTAATAAAGGTTATGACAACGACGACCACGACCGCGTTCGCGATCGCAGGGATCGAGATAGATTTGATTCAGACCGTCGAGTCTCAGTTATCAATTCCCACTCTAGGCCACCTGCATCGCGATCTCAGTCACCCGCTTCCCGCCGCCGAGAAGGCTACGGTGTCAGGACTGGGAATACGCGCGACGAACCATTCCCGCGGCAGAACGATAGGTTTTACAAGTCCGATGTAAATCAACGTGGTCGATCGCAAGATCGAAATAGGAACCTAGAGGACGACGGCTCTCGCGAGGTCAAGGATCGCCCTTTGCGGGACCATAGTAGGCACCGCAACATACCTACGTCTCCTAGACACGGTCCGAGGAGTAACGATTACGCGAGTCACGGTGCTAGAGGCCGATCCTTTTCGCCAACATCCAGAAAAAGACGGAGGAGCCGAAGCCCGCTCCCCTTTCCACCTTCGCGGCCCAAGAAATCTCGGCGCGAGCGTGAACGTGACCGCCGACGTCGAGCAGAACGGGCGGAAAGGGTAGAGAGAGATCAGCCGAAAAGTTCAATTCCTGCATCCTCTCATAGACGTTCTCTCTCACCCCCTTACGAGAACGAGTCTCACTCTAGGCGTGCCGACCGTAGCGAACTATTTGAGCCGCGACGAAATCACCATCGTAGTCGTTCGCCGGCTCGTGGAGATAATTTTGAACAGGATCCTTCCCTTCCTCCACCTCATCCGAGGGGAGACTCTCAAAACCGAGGTCGCAGTCGTTCTCAGCGTTCCAATTCCCGGCAGTCATCTTTCTCACGTACACATTCGCCACCCCGTCCACTTGAACAACAGCACCACGGTTCATCGGACGCCGGCTCACGATCACGTCGGTCGTCTCCTGTTTTTGAACCCCCTAGACCTGATTTTCCGCCTAGGTCACCTAGAGAGCGCGGATCTCGCCGTTCTCGCAAAAAGGGCAAGCACCGTGAAGACTCTAAATTCCCTCCTGGGGGTCAGTTAGCGTCTGGTGCAAACAGCATCGAAGTCAATATGTCTAGGCGATTAGAGCACCGAGGTACTCCTAATACGCAAGCGCCTCCTACTCGCCCCGGAAATTCTCAATATAACGATCGTCGGCCTGTTCACTCAGCCCGCTCACCGCTACGCCCTAACTCGGGCTCATCTTTCCATGGTTCTCCGACATCACAATCACCGTATGGTAGTGGTAGAGCGGCTTGGAGTAATCAACGCCAAGGCTCACCCCATAGGTATGCTCAACTGACTTCCTATAGGTCCAAATCATTTACTTATCATCACAAATTTAGTCAGTATTCTACGCAGCGTCCTCGAAGTAGTCATGGACCTCCTACCGGCCCCTCAGCCCAGTCACCTCAGCCGCCTACCGGGCCTATGTCCCAATCTTACCCTCACAACCGTAATTTTTCTAGAGGGAGCTTCCGAGGTAGCTCACACCCTACTCGAGGTAATTATCGGAATGTAGGGGGTGTTCAAAATGCTCAGCGACCAGGCGTTGGTAGAGGCATCCCCAGTCATTCCAGAGAGAATACTCCTCAACATCACCATAGTCCACCGCATTCAACTTCAAATCATTCAGATCTAACTGGAGCAAAGGAAGAGAGAGATGATGACAATAATGCGTCTAGAGCATCAAAAACCCACAATGAAGATTCGTTATTGGAGAAGAATACTAATGAGCAGATGCCTCCGCCTCGACCCCCTCCCTCAGCTCCGACGGGTCCTGCAAGTTCAAAATTCAGCTTTGCATTTAAGGCAACAAATAAAACACCTGTCGCGACCCCAAAGCCAGAAATCTCTCAAAAGTTCAACACGGCTCCTAAAAAAGAGCCACCCCCACACGCTGATGATCGAGATCGAGACCGTTACCGAGACCGCGAGCGAGAGCGAGAGCGAGAACGGGAGCGCGAGCGGGATAGAGAGCGAGAGCGAGACCGTGAGAGGGAGCGTGAAAGGCAGCGCGAGCGCGACCGGGATCGGGATCGGGACTTACCTCGAGATACTCCGAGGGAGCCCGCTTCTGCAAGAGCAAGGTCGGATTATCATGCTAATCGAGTTCCTCCTGAGTTACCAAGGACGCGGAAGGTGAAGAGGATACAACGAAGATTGAAACCCAAGCCTGAATTACCAACAGACCTCGCTGCATCAGATTCGGTGTTCTTCAGGAAGCCTGGCAACGAGTCAGTTGTGGGATCAGGTACATACGGCAAAGTCTTCAAGGGCCTCCACGTGTATACCAAGAGGCTTGTTGCTCTGAAAAAAATACGCATGGAAGGAGAAAGAGATGGATTCCCGGTTACCGCGGTGCGGGAAATCAAGCTTCTCCAATCCCTGAAACACCGAAATATCGTTACCTTACAGGAAGTTATGGTTGAGAAGAACGATTGTTTCATGGTTTTTGAGTATATGTCTCACGACCTTACGGGCTTGTTAAATCATCCATCGTACAAACTTGATGCGGCACAAAAGAAGCACCTTGCTCTACAGATATTCGAAGGCCTAGATTATCTGCACAAACGAGGGGTACTGCACCGCGACATAAAGGCAGCTAATATACTTGTTAGCAGTGACGGCGTCTTAAAACTAGCAGACTTTGGCCTGGCACGTTTCTACGCAAAACGTCACCAACTCGACTATACGAACCGAGTTATTACTATTTGGTACAGATCTCCCGAACTATTACTTGGCGAGACGCAGTATGGTGCTGCCGTGGACATCTGGAGCGCAGCATGTGTCATGGTGGAAATTTTCACACGCCATGCCATCTTCCCCGGAGATGGTGGTGAGATCAACCAGCTAGAGAAGATATACGCTGTGCTCGGTACGCCGAATAAGAATGATTGGCCTGCACTTATCGATATGCCCTGGTTTGAGCTACTGAGGCCTGGGTATCGACGGCCTAACCTCTTTGCTGAGAAATACAAGGAACGAGTTCCAGCAGCTGCCTTCGAACTGCTTGCTGCCATGTTTCAGTACGATCCAGTGAAACGTCCGTCTGCGGCAGAAGTTTTGGAGCATCCTTACTTCACGACAGAGCAGCCTCCTGCAAGGCAAGCTATTGAGTACGTATTTATTCACCTCACTCATATATCGTAAGTACCTTGCTAACCATTCATAGACTACGTGATCTCGAGGGCGAATGGCACGAATTCGAGTCGAAGGCACTGCGCCGGGAGAAGGAAAAGCAGGAGCGAGACGCACGGCGTGCTGCTAAAGAAGGCAGTAGCCGTGATAAGGATAAGAAACGGCCACCGTCAACCCATGAGTCCCAACGAGACAGCAAACGCCCGCATGTTGACGGGCGGCCACCTACACTAGGTCGAGCTTCAAGCTCCAATGTTGTACAGTCCGGCGAACCTGTAGCGAGCGAAACGGCACTAGAGTAGGATAGCCCGTCATCTCCTACGAAAGAAAAGTCAACCAGTTATAACATAGATGGTGAGGAAACCATAACAGAGGTCTAGACTAGAATCCCACAACAGGGGATAATGGGCTATATATTTCGAAAGATGTAACTCCAAAACCCCGTAAGAGGTGGGTGTGTACAAAAATAAGGCAGAGGGAGCCTCTGGTATGGGATTGATTTGGGGCATCATTCGTGGTATGGAGACTCCTATCACGTACAGGAGCAGCCTCATTTGCTAGCTAGAGGCTCGGTGTTGTTGCTTACGCGTTTATAGCATTGGTAGTGTAGATCCTAAGGATACACTCAGATAGCTTGATGGAGTGCTGTATAAAGGAGTGGTATTTTACGCTCTAGACAGGCGAAATATAATGAGATCAATCCTATAATTTATCACCTTGCGTTGTCTAACAGCTGAGTGCTCTTGTTAGATATACTGTAATGGCATAAAAGGTTATTACGAAATTACCTTTTAATGATGCAGTGGCATCTTCGACAGTTTTCTCAGCTAGTATGACAGTTTATATTTAGGAGATAATAAATTTGGGGAGGCTCTGTTGATACCGAATCAATGCTTTATGCTACTGTTTAGGCCCCGTATAATATCAATTTAGTAACACTCGGAAATATCATGCATTAGGTACCTAGGAGGTAGGCAGGCAGACACGGGAACTAGCACCTACATAATCGGGCAATACCCGGCACTCGGTCGGGTCCGTGTGGGGACAAAATTTTTGCCGTTTCCGGAAGTTAAACTTTGCTAATCACATCCCGGCAGTTCGGGTAGGGTGATACTGCACGTGCTTACGCTAATACCAAAACCACGGCCTGGGACTTCTTTTGCATCCAGACTAGGGGGCGATGATGTTGTGCCACTCGGCATATGCGCAAGGGATACACGGCAGGATATTTTAAATTCAGGTTGAAGGTGAGTGAGCATAAGGGTAACGGTACTATATATATCCAGTAGGTAACTAAGTTAGTGGACTGTAGCATTACAACGCCATTTTCATTTCTTGACATCGTCGTGATCTGTGCTAGCAATGATATCCTCCCACTCATTAATCAACGCCTCGGTGCTGTGGATTTTATCCTTGATTGCTTCGAATGCATCGCGACCAAGCACAAGTCTCAGAGGGATCTTCTTGCCCTCTGCGACTCCCGTCTGCGTCAAGACGTCAACAATGACCTTGGCGCCCTTAATAACATCGCCAGGCTGGTGGTCGTCGAAAATATCGAAGTGGTTCCGCGTCGCATCCACAGGCGTGTCCTTGTACTCCTCCGTAAGGGGCCTCGCAGCCCGGATGCGGCTGTTGCCGTCGTCGTGGAGAATTCCCGTCCGGAAGAATCCGGGCTCGATGACGACGGCTGAAATCCCGAGCGGGCTGACCTCCTGATGTATCGTCTCTGTGAACCCGGTCACGGCAAACTTGGTCGCGGAGTAGTAGCTTAATCCGGGAATGCCTTGCCAGCTGCACCGACTGCCGAAGTTGGCGATTACTCCCTGTCGGCGAGGGCGCATGTGGTGGAGCGCGTGGCGCGTCATGTTCATGACACCGAGGATGTTGGTGTTGAACTGGTTGAATGCTTCCTGAGTCCTATATCCAAATATCAGCGGATCGGTATCTTACTTCTCACAAATCGCTAGCTATACGGAAAATGATCTCTACTTACGATGCTTCTTCAGCAGAACCCTCTAACACATATCCCGCCGCATTGATACAGTGTGTGATATTGCCGTAGGTATCGATGGCCTTCTGGAACGCAGCTTGGATAGACGCATCATCAGAAGTCACATCCAGAGCCAGGACTAGGGCGCCGGCTTCCCTGAGGTCTGCCATCTTGGCTAGGTTACGCGATGTGGCGACTACTTTGTCACCTCGCTTCAGAGCTTCGAAGCCGATAGCACGGCCAAAGCCGCTGCTTGCTCCTGCGATGAGCCATACGTTGGTAGCCATGGTGCTGTGTTGGTAAGGGCGTGACGTAGTCCTAGTCAAGACTGCATAGGATAGCTCACGGATAGGAGATATAGAATATTCGTCATAGTGTGATCAAGACTGCCGTATTATAGACGGCTACTGGCCTTTTTATACTCGCATGAGGGACCATAAATGCAGAATGGACAGATGATAAGAGTTGCTTGCACTGGAAATTAATGTGTGTGAATCCCGAATCATGACTTGAAGGCTTTCGATCGAGATCCTTCAATAAGCCTCCATGTTCCATCTGTGCCAAGGTATATACTGGGTAAAGTTGCGGGATTAGAAGCCACTCGGATATAGGTGACCCTTCTCGTCGGTCGGTTTATTTAGATTTGGAACTTGATTGTTATTAGAATACCAACATAGTTATCTGGCGGCTAGCTACGGCCGGTTATGAAGAAGAGTTGAACATGAATCCCGGTTTCAGGACATTTCAGCCTCTATCTCCTGATAGTCCAAGCACACCTTGTCATGGGCTGGCCTTTGACATACTATTACTAGTTATCTATACTATAGTTATTGTGGCGTCTACGCCAGTGTCGTACCAATCCTTGGGCAAATTGGAGATGCTTCCTACCCTCTCCTTCCACTGAGGAAACCTTGGCGACGTGCCTAATATCAAACCCATGTGATTTCTATGCATCCAATGGGACTTTGCAATACAGAAAAATGCAGCCCCCGTCTCCAACGCAATTCCAGATGTTGTAACTCGCGACCGGCGGGCGGAGGGGTCAGTCTGTCCAGGTACTATAGCCCATGACTCCAAAGCGCCATCGGTTCGGAAGTGCTGCTTTCGGCTGTAGGACCCATCGGCTTTTTGGTAGTAAACCCAGTGTTCATTACTATGGTAGTCGGCTGAAAGCCGACAATACTTGATGCGGCCTCGGAGAGTGATGGTGCCCCCTGATACTTGCCCGTAAGGGTTGGCCCCTACTACATTTGTCCGGGCATCGACCACAGAGGCAAGAAACTGCGGATCCTGCACTGAGTTCCAAACCACACCCCAATTCATTGATGCCCATGACCATGTTGGCGCATTCTCTTCGTGTTCTTTCGTCATTAGTGGTTGATGTGCGCGGCCTGGCATTACTTGCCACTTTGACAATAGGTCAGCAATTTCCCTTTTAAATAAGCAAGTGTCTTAGGGGCACCGGGTACTTCACTGATGCGATATTCCCCTATTTTTTATTTATTTATTTTTTAATCTTTTTGGGGGGGGAAGTTCTTGGGAGTACGTACAAGAAGATCTAAAAGCAGAGACTCGCTCCATAGGCCGGCAAGATATTTACTGGTCCTCACCTGCGGCATGATAGTAGCAGCGCCGGCTATCGCCGGGAGTTTGTCACTGGTGAACGTTAACTGGCGCGAAGTGTATGATTTGACAATCATGTGCCACTGTTCCAAGGGGCTTACTTCGCCCAATGAGCCAGGGACTGTGGACGGATAAGGAGGTAGTTGATCTTCGCTCTTCCGATGCGTCCGACATTCGTATATGATAGCACCTGGAGCGAAGTTGAGGATCCGTGACGCGAGGAACGATTCCTGAAAACACCATCCCCGCGCATAAAGGGGACCAACTTTTTTCAACGTGGCCCATGAACTCGTGAAAGGCGGCTCGAGTAGCCCCTGGTCAAGCGGCGCTGCTAAGAGATGGCGCTGTCGGACCATAATCGGTATATTAGCACCGGGTGCAATGGGAAAATTGAAACGCTTCGGAAGCCATTCTTCTTCTCGGGGTCGTAAGTACGGCGTACTAGGATTGGACGAAGAGGCACCACTGATAACAATAAACGCACGGCTATACACCTCACCCATGAGAGCTGCCTCCTTCTCCCAGTCTGTCTTGTCATCTTGGACGATACAAAGGGAGTCTATCCAAACATATGACAATCCAAGCTCTCGAGTAACACTGATTGCATCTTGAAACGTCGACGGTAACTCTGAGAAATCAATATGCTCTTTGAAATTATCCAGGGTCGACTTTGTCAACGATAGCGGCTTGCCGCCACCCCAACAATGACTTAGCGCTGCCCACACAACGTTTTCTCTTTTAGAAATGGCATCGCAGAGTCTGAGCGCGTCTTTTCCTCCGCCAACGTATATTAACCTTGTCGGAACGAAGCCATTAGGCCGTGCGGCACATCCAGGATGTTCTCTACAGCATTCATTAATGCTTTCCTTCATAAACCTCATACATTCCTCAGACCGGACATCCGCCGCACGAGAACCTACAGGCCCCATTGCAGGAGCTCCTGGTATAGGGGATGGAGGCATAGGGTCCATGTACAATTCCAGATCTACCCTCGGATTCTGAAACCATTTATCGTACGTAAAGTTCCAGCAGTTAATTATCAAAGGTTGCCCTTCTCTAATCATGAGACCGACCTGTATCGGCATACCGTTTATGGTCTCCGTAACCCAGCTCATCCATTCGTCGATGAAGTATGCGTCAAATATTTCGCAAAGGAGCCGGCAATACTTGCAATCGTTCTTAGGACGACCAGTCTGAGGATCAACTTCGCGACTCTCTAAAATCTTCTTCGTTGATATCTCTTCCAAGACGAGAGTGGGAACGGAGGCAAGCTGCTTCTTTCGAGCAGCTTGCTGGGGATCGTTGATCTGGTTCCACGCAGCACTGGGCCGGCCAAACATATCCTCGTGTCCGTAAGGCTGTAGGTTATTGCAAACGAGACAAATACCCGTCTTGCCTCCTTTTATATGCCGCGAGACGGTGTTTCCAGCCCAAACCGCGGTATCGGCTGCTAAGCGCACGCCCTTAGCAATATCCTTGGCGGAACTGAATAGACTCTGCATTTTGGAGTTTTATGCAGTAGGTATTGCTAAAAATGTAGTCTAGTCCAACGTAGCCATAATTGTTATGCGGTAGGAGCGCATTGTTGACAAGCTAATGTAGGAAGGCTATAATAGGTAGACTTCAAAGAGCAGTTTTGATTTAACTATTAACTCTTTAGATAGGTAATTAGTAGAAAATCGGAATGCTCGAAGTGGCCAAACTTGTAGCGACCATATGATGTTGCCAAGTCTCAGCCGCATTACCTACCTAGGTATCTAGGATAGTATAGGCGCCGGCCTGACACATACGCGCAATTGGCGTAGCATCGCCCCGTGGGGACATGTTCGCTTTCAGCTCCGAATCGTATACTACCTTCTATACCATGGTCGTGGCTGTGCTTTGGTGCGGTTGTGACATGTAGTTCGAACCACCTGATATGATAAATTGGCTTGGCAAAGGTTAGGTACGGAACTCCAGTGGTATTGATAATGCTCCTTAAGTTTATAGACCATGATAGTTCGACCCTTATATAAAATTGATCGTTGAAGATAGTGTGGGGAAACTCAAGACGTTTAATAACCCGACCAGTAAGGGTAGAAAAGCCTGGTTTCTGACATGTAAGGCGAGATGTTTGCTATCAAGTCGTAAGTTTAGTTGATGGCACTGTTTTCATCGAGGGAAAACCTAGCCTCTAAACTGAGGACAAGGTGACTTGCCTACAACCAAGCCACGGATAATGTGACAATGACTTTTACCTACACAACTGCTGGGCCTGCGGAGTATGTGAGCATGCCGAATCTCACATTTAAATCAAATTCATTGTCCAATCAGAAGACCGCGGGCAATCATTTAGGGGAATATAACCCTTCCCCTAGCTTATCAAGCAAATTACCCGGTAATTTTTCATCTACGGCAGTTCCTCTTGCGAACCGCTTCCGTACCAAGATCATTAGGTTTCCATACTGCTGCCATGACTTGACTGAGATCATTATGGAGGTGAGGAGGCCTAATCATCTTTGGGCTACACTTCCTAGTCGCCACGGGTTTGATATATAGAAGTATCAATCTGCGACCTGTGTACGACCATATCTTACCTGGTGAGGTTTAAGGACCGTTGAAGGCTTCCTCCTGTCTCTTGCACTTTCTGGGTTTCTCTGACCTAATTTTGCCATTGAAAGGAAAAGGGGAATAAATATGAAGTGGCGCTCTCTTGCTGCTCTGGCAGCACTCCTGTCAGCGCATGATGCCGCATATGCGCAACAGATGTTGCGATTCTCGTGCTCGAAACTAACTATCGAGCGTTTGGACCCGTTGGTCTCGCCAGGTATGGAACAGTCACCGCATATGCATCAGGTCGGCGGCGGAAACTCGTTTCGAGCGTCTATGCCACCCGTGGATTTCGATCCCGTGAAAGAGTCGACCTGTACTTCGTGTACCTTTGCCGAGGACTTTTCGAACTACTGGACTGCCAACTTGTTCTTCAGGGCCCGTAATGGGACCCTGAAACGCGTACCACAACTGGTAAATATGGGCTTGAAAGCTGATGGGGGTTTAACTGTGTATTATATCCCGCCGTATGATGGCAAGACTAATGTTACTGCATTCAAACCGGTAAGTATTCAAGCCAGGTGATCCGGGAACACTCAGGTACCCTTCTGTCTCGAATTAAAACTCGCTGACAGGAGTGTTTTACGTAGGGGTTCCGTATGCTAGTTGGGGACCCGATGTTACGACAAGCCGAAGGCCAGCAGCGACAGATTTGCCACCGGTGCTTCAGCACGATTAACCAGGTGCCGTTTGGCGGCGCGCCTTGCACGGGCGACGATACAGCATCCCTCCCCCCTGGGATGTGTAACGGTGGTATTCGCACAACGATTACCTTTCCTACATGCTGGGACGGCGTCAATGTTGACTCGCCTGACCACAAGAGTCACGTTGCATACCCCGAGACAGGGTCTTTCGAGAGTGGCGGCCCTTGTCCGGCCAGTCACCCCGTAAAGCTCCCACAGTTGATGTAGCTTTTCACTTTCTCCTTCTTTTACCCTTTAGGGTTAATATTAGCTGCTAACGTGAAAATGTGAGCTTAGGTATGAAGTTATATGGGACGTGAGTACTATGGTTCCTATCTGGATGCTTTCGGGGGCTGCAGTTTTAGACGGGGTCGATATTTAGAGCCATGGTGACTTTGCTCATTTGCTAATCCGGATGATTCATAGACGCGACCCTTCAATGACCCGGATTTGTGGCCCGAGGATGGGTCTCAGCCCCTGGTATATAGTATGGGAGATGGGTGAGTTTCTGAATTCTTCCGAGAGAATGTGACGAAGGGTATTTGGAATGATGGCTGACAGACTCTAGTTCCGGTTACGGCCAACACGGCGACTACCTCTTCGGCTGGAAGGATGATGCTCTCCAGAGAGCATTGGATGCTCGTTGTAGCAACGATCGTTGCGCACAGCTTAAATCGCAGACTTCCGATGACGCGATGCAGTGCACACTTAACCAGACCGTCCCAGAGAAGTACGATGGATGTAAGTCAACGATTATCGTTCTCGATATACTTGATGTGGGTGTACTGACCATATACACTATGGATAGGGCTCGACCAACTCCCTGGTAATTGGACTATCACTTACAGCTAAACTGGGAACGGGATAATGTAATGTGAATTGGATATAGATAATTCTTGAGATTGGTGTTTTGGAATCGAGTCAACTTCTACTTGTCTAAGTACCTAACCCTAGGTAGATGCCGATAAACTCAAACAATAAGCCCTATTTCCTTTAGTTACTGTTATTCTTTAGGTAGCGAGTTGACTTGTGAATATATTATTTCCGGTCCGTTAGTTGTATTTCCTTAAAGGTGCTTCTATGAAGATAAAGTTTTGGTGGATGGAATCTTTTGAATTGTTGGAATGACAGAATGATAAGCAGCGGCAATCTCTTATCGTAAACCCCACTTTATCATTATCTGTGGCTAGTAACTGAGGCGCATATAGGCTCTTGGCAGCTACATGTACCTTAGCGTCTTAGGGGGGGTAGTAGTAGCCGTATATATACAGTATATATACGGCTCCCAGGTATGAGCCGCTCCCAGATGTTAGGGAAAAACGTGAAGCTCACCAAATTCATACGCATCAGCGCTAGGAGCCAATCAATATTTTTTGAGTGGTACAACTGGTGCGCCGCTCTTGCACTGTAAGCCGCTCGACCAATGAGCGGCTCGTGGCGGCTCGTGCGCCCCTCACACTTTTTGCGCCGCTCGCATCTCTGCGCCGCTCCCGTTTTGAGCGGCTCCCACCAGGGAGCGGCACGTGCACCGCTCCAGGTAAGTGCATATAAAAATTAAAAAGTATATTCCCATACGTTTTTATATGGGAATCTACTTGTAAGACTTTTTTAAGTCGGTAATGATTTTAATTACAATTATAGGTTACGGGCTACAGGCTACAGGCTACAGGTTACAGGTTACAGGTTACAGGTTACGGCATACGATTAATTTAATTGGAAGGTTATGTGTTTTTCAAATAGACCACGGGGCATAACATGTTACATATTACGGGCACGCGTATGGATTTGTAATTATGGGGTATAACCTGGTCTGTGCGGCCCGGGTATATGTAATAATACCCTGTCCGTACCGCTCAATACGGGGGAGCCGCTCAAATCGGGAGCGGCGCAGAGATGCGAGCGGCGCAAAAGCCGCTCATTGGTTAGAGCCGCGCTAGTACGGCTCATCTTGGCCTAGCGCTCCAAATATTTGGAGCGTTTAAACCGTAAGCGGTAATATTACTACTTAAATATTTGAGTCATTTAACTCTTTAAACGTAAGAATCGGGAGCCGCTTATTGCATTGAGTGGGATAAGTACGGCTACGATTCAATAAGCGGTATATATGCGGCTACTGCTACCCCCCATATTACGGTAAGGTACCTAGGTAGGTACCGTCAGCTAGAGGTGAATTCAATAGGAAGCTTCAACTTAACGTTTTCAGCTGTGCAAGCTCAAGTTTAAAATCATCCACAATACTCACTTACCTTCATGTTTTAAGGAAGGTTGGTATTCCAGCTTTGAGAAGAATAAACTACGTCAAGTACATATACTGGATTATTTAGGTAGTTCTTATATCATAACTGTGCCCTTCCTACAAATGCGCCGCACTCGAATTTCCCATCCCACGTCGTAGCACAAACACTCAACGCGACCGCGATTCCACGAAACTATGCCGACGCCATGGACACTACGAACGCGTCAAACCCGCTTCAGCAGCTCGGCGTGGCGAACAGGGTTGCTATCGCAGACTTAAGCCCCGAAATTCAAGACTCGGCATCTCGTGCTGTGCGTGGTGTGGTTACTATCACATGGCCCTATAATTCTGTCAAAGGCACATTTGCTTTTATCCTCGCTGAACCTGACTACCGTCTTCGCAGAAGCAAGGGGCAGGTTCGAATAAATCTGAATGGTGCATCTGCTAAGGCCGCTGGAGAGAGCGGGTTAAGTAGCGGTGATGAAGTTCTCGTGAGCTTGGATGGAGCTGAGTGGGAACCTGAACAAACCAAGAAACGACAGAGTCTGCCAGGCGCGGGCATCGATTGGCAGTTGAAATTCTCAGATAAGCTTATGCTTCAGGTGATTATATACATGTATACATCTTATGGTTTAGCAATTTCTCATATCTTGTCTAGGTTACTTTGACCGAGACTGGAGAGACCAAGCTCGTCAACGTCGACCGTCCTCCCCCTGCGGAGCCCCAGCCTCGGGCTGAAACGCCGCCGACCGAAATATCTCACGAAGAAGACCTCCCCGCTCAAATGCTCGAAACTTTCACCCCGCCTAGCAAAACCTATATTGCGAAGCTTAAAGATGGCGAATTCGAATCTCCGGCTTTCGTTAAGAGAGCTCGGATGTCATACGGATCCTTATTCGAAGATGGATACGATATATTCGAGGAAGATGGTGGTGTAAAAGGAAGAGGTCGGAAAAGGTCGAGATTTGGTCGTGAAAGCGGCGCATGGAAATATACCAGCCAGTCTCCTAGTCCTGAACCTACCTCACCTCAGGTTACCGTGAGCTCTCCGCCGAGACCCGACATGACTGATGAAGGATGTCAAACCATGGAAATTGATCTACCAATGCCTTTACCTACGCAAGAAAACATTAATAGTGAAGCGCAGCTGGTTTCGGAGTCAACATTGAGTGTAGAAGATGTTACCCATCTTCAACAAGGAATGGTAGATCACGGTGTCCAAGGAGATTTTCACAGCGAATGGCCAGTCGCGACACCTGCACCACTCCCACCGCCCGGGCCTCGTAGTGAACTTCCTAGTAGTCGACCAGAATTATCTACATTTCAGGCCGCCGATGGATTTAACATAATCACTAATGACCTTCAGCGATGGAATGCTCCACCTATGAACCTTCCGCCTGAAGGCTACTTACATACTACTGAACCTCCATCAGGTAACGGGTTCCCAAATACTTTCGAGATGGAAACACCTGCGGGGCATGATATAGCGAGACCTGGAAGCCCTACGCACTCGCCAAACGAACCTAATCGCCTTGCTGTTGAACATGATGAGCACCATCTTCATGAAGGCCTAGCGATCGATGAGCAAGGCTACCCAATGCAAGCTACATTACACAGCACGGACTACCCGCCACTTGGTCTTGAAGATGAAGAAGAAAACACTACGGTATCTCAAGGGGCACATGTGGACTATCCTCCCTCCTATTTAGATAATAATCACCCCTTCTCCCAAGAGGAGACCATGGGTATGGAACGAGACTCGTTCGATTCCAGCGTCCCTGCAGCTGAAAATATAAGATCATCGTCTTGGGCTACGGTCAATAACCCATCTCAAGCGACTTCGATGCCTCATACCGGCAGGGTAGGTAGTGCAGAGGGGAGGTCTCCCGATACCGCAGTTGTCATAGACGAGAGTGATTCAGATGACGAACCACCACCGCCGACTGCTGCAGAGGACACGGTCATGACCGGCCAAGCTGATGCTCTCGACATGTATGAAGAAGCAGAAGTCGAAGATGAAGTGGATGCTGGATATTCGGATGATGATGAACCGGAATATGATGCTGACGAAATGGGCGGTGATTACGATACAAGGAATTACACCGCACCAGACGATGATGAAGATGATAGTCACGATGAAGACTTGCGACCACACGAACTGGAACCCGAGTTCGACGACGGCGAAATCTGGGATGAAGAGGACGAGGACGCTGAGGATCTCGAGTACGAAAGCGAATATGAGACTGATGATAACAATGAAGAAAATCGAAACCCGGTGCGGCCGGTTTCACAGTCTATCCCTCAAGTCATTGATCTTATTTCCTCCTCAGAGGATGAAGGGGAAGATGACGAAGCTGCCCAACCGCGGCAAATGGCTCAACCAGTCGCTAGTAGTAGTATATCACAAAGTCAACCAGTAGCATCGCCAGGAATTATATCAAAGCAAGCACTCGCACAGCCCGCCGAGAGTGGAAGTGAGGGTGAAGAAGAGGGTGAGGATAGCCAGGATGACGAGGAGAAGAACGATGAAGATGAGGAGGGGGGCAAAGATATCGAAAGGGAGGACGTCATCAGCTTAGTCGATTCGATTGACAAATCGGACTTTGAGTCCTCGGGAGGCGAGAATGAAGATGTTGAGAGAATGCTCGAGGAAGAACTTGAAGAAGCAGTGGTTAGTTCTGAAGGCGATGATGTGGCGGAGTCCATTGATATGGGCTCCCAGCAAATGCCTGCTGCGCCCGGAACCCCCCGCCCTAACGAGTCTAACGCATATCAAAAAGCATCTCCTAAGCCTAGCCATGAAGGGCCAATAGGTATGGAAACCAGGGAGGGATATAAAGACGGCTCGGCTGCAAAGTCCGCGGCCGACGGACTGGAAATCCTGAGCCGAGCCGTCGACAAGGAAACTAACGATAATCAAGTCACGTCTCCTAGGGAAATACAAGGTGAGGACGCTATTGATACCACCTCGTCTGAAACCGAACCCCTAGCGGAACGTATAGAAGCGCCAGAGGAGCAAGTAGAAGAACATGAATCCCTAAGTTCTCAGGAGGATGAGGAAATGGTTGATATGGTACCTGTTTTACCAGCTACTGCCCCAACCCCACAGCCTATAGCAGTAAACGAAGAGAGACGTGTCGAAGACAAAGCACCCTCGTCCCCTCCGTTAACACATTCGTTTATATCGCTATCTGCGGACGATAAAAAGATGGATGTTGTGCTGCGAGAGAATATTGCTGTTACAGGATCCCAGCTTCCGGCCGACCAGCTACCGACACCTCGAGATACACAATTAACGGGCGATACCACGGTATTGGACTCTGTTCCAGTTGTTTCTATGGATCTTGACGAGCCGGATGCAGCAGACGATACGAAAGGGCTTTCACCTGTGGCTGAGCAATTAACCAGTAGAAAACCACCTTCGGTAGCTGCTGAAGATATCATTGCAAATGTCGAGGAGCAGGCTACTAAGCCTAGCACATTTCAACCAGAAAAAGCTCACCTTGAAGAAATATCCCAGGATACCACAAAACTGAACAACTTGCTTGCTTCGCCGAGTTTATCCTTCCAGACTCAGGTTGCTGATGAGGAAATGGTCCCAGCAAGTTTCGTTGAGTCTATCCCTGAGATTACGATCGATCTTGAGACTAGAACTGATACCCGACCTGATATTAAGACTAGTATTTCTCATGCTAGCCTGTCATTTATCTCTCAAATGGAGGTCGATGAAGAATTACAAGCTAGCATCATGGAACATTCCGAGTATGATGATGATATGGATAGTGAGGTGGTAGAGGAACGTGAAATTCGTTATCAGGCCGAAGAACATGAATATGAGGCCGGTCCCGCTCAAAGTGGGGATGATGCTCGCGTAGAGCATGAAACCCAAAGTCTTGTTTCGAGAGATCCGTCCCCAGATCTTGGAACGCAGATACAAGAGCAACAGGACACTGGGCGAGCCAATTCACCCCCCATAGAAGCTGATTCTCCCGAGCAAACGGACCCGAGCGTGCAGCTTGCTCGTGGTACGTATGGTCCTAAGCGAAGGGTGAAGAACCATGACACAACCAAGATTACTTACGCAGACGAGATAAACATGTCTGCTGTTGAAAGCTCGTCGCCTAGTGTGGAAGATTCGAGCGTGCAACTGGCTCGAGCTTCTTTAGCTAGATCCTCACAGGGCGAGGAAGAAAGCTCTTCGATGACGGCGGCGAAACTCAAACTCGTGCGTCATCTTCGAGACGAATTGCCGGATTGCACGCCTCTCAAGGTTTTGCGGCAGCATCTTCAAAAGAAGTTAGATATAATTGCCGTTGCCATGATGCACCCACCGGACCCACAAAGAGCCAAGGGCGGCCCGCGCGAATTCATGATGTCGTTTACCATCACCGATCACTCGATCGGCCCCTATTCAGTTGTGGAAACACAGCTATATCGACCGCACAAAGAAACGCTGCCGATCGTGAAGGCCGGTGATGTTGTGCTCCTTCGCAACTTCACGGTCATCTCACTTCAAGGCAAGGGCTTCGGTTTACGCACAAATGACGAGTCGAGCTGGGCCATTTTTGACTACGACGGCGAACCGCCTCAGATCAAGGGACCTCCCATCGAATACGGCGAGAGAGAGACCACTTATGTGGCACACATGCGGGCGTGGTATAACCTTCTGGACGAGAAGGCAAGGTTGAAACTTGAAAGGGCTAATAAGAAGATAGTCGATGTGGGCAAATCTAAGTAGGGATAAAAATGGCTCAATTCTCTGCGTTGGGGTTTAGCATTCTAGCATTTTTCTACGACGACTCTTACAAGGTTTCTATGTATGTTTATCCATCTTTGCCTTGCATTGCAGTTAGGAGTTGGGTGGAAAAGGCATTACTCCCTATCTCATGATATGGGAATGGTAGATAGCATACTAAGGCACTAGGCTTAATGATATATAATTGTGGTATTTTTGATATTGACAAGGTCTCGTCCCTCTTAATTCAACTTGGCCTGGCGGCCATCATTTTGTGGCTTTTTTGATACAATTATCGCTGGGGGTTGGAAGGGATAAGAGTTAGAAGACTACTACCTGCTTGTTGATGCAAGCGTGGGAATTGGGTGGGTGGTCATATGCTGGTGGTAATATACACTTATCTATATGTTTTATGTGGGAATAAAGTATCCCCCACCAAAACGCCACTATAAGAGAATGCCGCATAAAAATGGTAGGTTAGATGATTGTATGTATGTATGTGGCTAGTTAGGGTGGATGTTGGAAGGATTTTGCACTGTTCTCATGGTATAGCAAGCCGACGATATCCACCCATATTCTTTGGCATTACATCTTGATGAGAATCCTTACTTAAAAACCCCACTAATCAGGATATTCTATTCGCCCTGCTCCATAAGCAGGGTTATCTAGAAGTAGGTAAGGTCCTTGAGCCCGGTCGCCGAAAGTCCCTTTCGGGAATTCGTTTCTAAACTTTACCCTTCGGAAACCGAGATGTTTACCTATTGTTTAGTTGGGTCAAATGATAGTTTACCGTGGGGCGTCGGGTGCTCCCGCTTGGTGATAGGCCCCCATGCTGCCATGCTGATCATCTGGTCCACCTCGATCTTGCTTGGTTTGGGGCCTTCCAGGCCTCGGCAATCTTGTGATGAGCTGTACTTAAGCCGCAAGCCGGGACGGGCATTATGCACTAACAGCTCGAGTGAATGTGCGGGACCGAACAAGTTCTGGCCATATCGCGATCCTAATATAGATGTGTGACATAATAAAGTGCATAACCTACCTTTCTTGCCTCCATGTAAGCTTCCGTCTGTAAGATAGGTTGTAGATACGTCATCCATATTTAAGTCAAATTCTGAATAGATTCCCTAACAAGCATAGACGACGATAGAGTCATATATCATACTAAAAAGGAAATAGGAAATATATCATTAGTCACCAGAAATACTGTAATAGATAACAGAAAGTTAATAGATTAGAATAAGGAAGATGTATGGATTATTTTGGCTTGAAGGACTATTTCCTCCGCCGAGTCTCAGTTCTAGGTATGAGCTATCAATATGAGCTATCAATATGAAGGCGTAATGGCAGAGAGGCAATTATGTGGCTTATACTTTACTTAGTATACATGAGGTATATGTAAGGCATGAGGTATGAGGCTTATGCAAAGCTTTCTGATCTGAATGATGTACGTGACTAGCTTAACTCCAATCATGAAGGAAGATGAGGAAGTTAATCGAGATCATCGTGACGAAATCGTAATTACCTATGGCTTTCCCATCTAACCCGGTTTGCTATCATGCAAAAGATTAGATTACGACGCAAGCGTCCGCGCCTACGTGCAATTCGGGGGCAACGTTCTAGACTTTGGCCACTCCACGAAATAACTCCACGAAATAACGCCCCGAAAAGTCATGCTGTCATTGCGGAGACCTTTCGTTGGGAGTGACCAATAGGAATGCTTCTTATAGTATTTCCCCTGCAGAGATCTAAATTTCTAGAGCGGAAGCTCACCAGTAGAATGAAATCTGATTGGTCAACCGTTCCCGGAAAGGAATAAAACATCATGCACGTCGATTGTTCGCCTCTCCCACCGTCACTATCCACGATAGGGACAGATCAAGTGGTGACGTCAGGTCATCAGGGGAATTCCTCTACATACCCAATAGCCAAACAGCTTAATGCGGCTTTCTGACCGACGGTACTTAGAATGGAGAATATAGTATGGAGAACAAGGGATGGTAAAGAGATACGTAACCCAGATGCGGACTAAGTTAAGGCAGGCTACCTACCCGGATGTGAGACAATGGCCGAAGCGGTAGACGGTGACGTAGTCTACTCGTCCGCATGATGTGCCTGATGTTGTCTTTACACACTCTAGCTTACCAAGGTCGATCCTTGTTGAATCTGGATAGACTGCCGGTAAGGCAAGGTAAACTAGATCAGCCATAGTTCGTTGAGCCGTTGAGCCGTCGAACCGTGACAAACAATCTGCCCCAAGTTTCTATATAAGGGGCTTCCAATTCCCACTCAGTCCCAGAAACTTTCCATCATCATTCATCATCTTCAGTCTTCAACAACAACAACGATCAACATCAACAAACAACACAACCACTACAAATTACAAACCACCAAACCTTCAAAATGGACAAGATTCAGAACGCCGCCAACTACGTCTCTGATACCGTCAAGGGTGCCACCAGCACTGCCTCCAAGGAGGCCAACAAGGAAGTCGCCAAGGACAACAACGCAGGCTTCACCACTCGGTAAGCTTCATCCACATCAACCGCCAACTCGAAGAACACTTTACTAACATACTCCCAGCGCATCCGCCGCCAAGGACGCAGTCGGTGACAAGGTCGACGAGACGAAGCACAACACTTCTGCCGACGTCAACAAGGAGGCTGCCAAGCACTAAACTGCTCTCTGCTCTTGATCAACTCCACCTCTATACGATTTGTACGATGAGATGAATGGGGGAATGCGATTATCCGGGCGTCTTTGGAACAGATAATGACTATTTTGTCCACATGACATGGAGAGATGGATTTTGATTCCCTTGAAAGATTCAAAGATCGCCGGTTGGCTTTAAAATACCCCTAAGATAGCTTAGAATTAAAGCCGCTCTTCATCGCCAACTATTTGCTCAAATCGATCACGTGAAATGAACATTTATAGAATCCGGTAATTCGCAGGTAACATGATTGACAACTAGGTAGACGAGTTGAATACTTTCCTGAAATACGATAGTTACACGACACAACCCATTTTGCAAGTATCTTTTATTTGTGAGTAATATACAAATGTACAGGGAACTCAATGCCTAGCATCCCACCATACACCGCTTGATAATGCAATACGGTTCTTCATACGGTTTTTGTTCGAATTCGTCCAGTCAAGAGACATCATCTGGAAGCCAGGTTCGAAACTTAGATCGTAATGTCAGAACAGCGTGGCGAGAATATAGTTATTTCAAGCATAGCCAAGCCGTGTTCTAGATCGCCCTAACACTTGACACCAATGCATGTTTTCAGGGGCGGTTGAAAGGTACATACATACCTGCCGATGCAACTCCTTGGACCATACTGAAAGGTATTTGGGTATCGATTTCTACCCTCAGTCGCGCGTAAATGTATGGATAACGAAACTATAAGGTATCGTAGTTTACTAGAGAAGAATACACTCTACCATGCGCCACCCACTTGTCGACCAGACCCACATTGGGCCACCTTGTTCCCACCAAAACTCACTTATTTCAACTAATTATCATAACCGCATTTTAAGCTTAAATTGGATTTTTCTTTTTATATGTAAATATTTAAAGGTGTATTATAATTATAGAGCTGAAATTATATTTGTCCGATTTTTATCCATTTAATAATAACGTAATAAACATGCGTTATATTTTAAATTTTAAAAATTTATAAATAAATATATATAATTACGTAATCTTAATAGTATTTATTATAAATGTAAATTCTTTATATTATTTAATAAAAAGGAATTATAATGATATATATTTTATATAATAAAATAATTATATAAGATATTTAAATATTTTATAAAATAAAAATAAAATAAATAAAAATCATTATTTTAAAAATTTATAAATAAATATAAAATAAATTGTTAAAATTCCTTTTTTTAATTTATTAATAAAATAAGATTATAAATGATTTATTTTATTATAACGATAATAAATAATATATATTTAAATTAATAAATATAAATATAAATATATATAATTTTTAAATAATTTTAAATATATTTAAATATTTTA